CAGGTGGGGTAGTGTAGGGTAAACAAGTTAAAACAGCAGTTCTTAGCCTGTGGGTCACGACCCTTTTTGGGTCGAACGAACCTGTCACAGGGGTCGTTAAAGACCATCGGGAAAACTCATATTCCCTGAAAGTATGAAGTAGCAACAAAAATTAAGTGTATGTTTAGGGGTCGCCACAATCTTAGGAACTGTATTGAAGGGTCGCGGCATTAGAAAGGTTGAAAGCCACTGAGTTAAACATCGATCTATATATACACTGTAAGACTAGCAAATAGTACTAAGATTTGTTTCCCCTGAAAGGAAATTCAGTTTATTCATAGTGACTCATGTACCAGAAATATAATATAGCAATTACAGGTCTAGGATACTCAACAGCACATTGGCTAGCAAGTATAAATAAAAAACATTACTTATTATAGACTTCAAATGGAAATGAGAAACACAAATAAGAATTGAATTTCAAATACCTCACTTGCGTTTCAGCTTTGAAAAGATGACATAGGCAACACCAGTGCTGTTCACAAACGGATTTTTCCCCGCGTTTTGTACTGTTCATCCCGGTGAAGTTTGCCAGTTGTCACCCCTGTCAACTTATCTCGGGATCAGCTTGGATCGGAGGCGGTTGGTTTGGACCCGGATAATTCCTGGAATAACTGGATGGCCAGTATGTGAGTTGCGATTATATAACACTCCAGTCGGTTAAGGTAGGTTGTAATTCAAACCACGTCTGGGGCTAACTACCTGTGGTTTTCTGTAACTACATTAAAGTTCGATGTGTGTGTTCTGACGGTGTCGGGTGGGTTTGTGTTTAGGATAGATACCATTGACACAGAGTTGCCAGTGAACCCTTACCATTAAGGCAGTGAGCAGGTTTATGACAGCTTTGCTTTATAATTATGCGTAGTGTAGCTATCAAGTCAAACACTGATGTATTGGAAACAAGTCTTCTCAATGCTCAGTCTACAAAGGCTCAGCTGGCTGGGTCATACCTAGAGAATGGAGGATGGCAGAGTCCCGAAGATATCCTTTATTGTAAACTAAAGACGGGTAGAATGTGTCGAAGCCGACTTCTACTACGATATAAGGACGTGTGCACTCGGGACATGAATGATACAGGTACTGAGGTGGGCTCGTAGGAGCAAAATGCCATGGACTGTGTTGTTTGAAGGGGGCACATCAGGAAGGGAATCAGAATCAAGGAAGAAATGATTGCAGAAAAGATTAAAGCTGAGCATCTGAGAAGAAACACACTAAACACAAATAGTGACGATAATGGTTCTGAAATCCTATACAAATCTTATTGAGGAAGATTGTTCTTAATGCAGGCGGTTCTTGCTAGTCACACTCGACTTCGCCATGCGCTGTTAGTCTTATGCCTCATCACAGCGTAATATAACACTGACGTCTGGAAAGACGGAAAGGTGCCAATCATCAGCTATCTAGTCAGTACAGATTCTGTTAGGCCGACCACCTGCCTGTTTAATGGCTTCTTTCACCCTTTTCCCAAAAAAATCTTACTTGCTACTTTTCCAGAAACTAATAGCAACATAATTTGTTCACTCCTGCAGGTCAACTTTTTATTTTATTACCCTGGTTATCATAGGTTGTGTCCTGGGTCAGAAAGACTACACGGAAACAATTTTGTAGATTCTGCCACACAAAAAAAGATAAATCGTGTATCGGATACATCAAGTCTAACCAGCGTACACTGCACTCCAGTCGTTGTCCAGACTTCTTCGGTCAGTTTCCCTAATGGTTCTTTTCAAGTTAGGGAACCTTTTACTTGCGAATCCCGCAACGTAATTTATGCAATTATCTGCAAACGATGCAGCAAGGCATACATTGGGGAGACTGGCAGGAAGCTAGCTGATCGTTTCCGGGAACACCTCTCTGATATCGACAAGAAGACACTCAAACCAATCCCTCTTCATTTTAATAGCCCTGACCACAGCGGTAAAGATGACATATCTGTCACAGCATTAAAATCTTGCTCTGGCGATCATACTACCCGCCTCGCTTTGGAAAATCGCCTTATCCACAGCCTTGGCGTTCTTAGTCCAAGAGGTATCAATATCCAACATACCTTCATCTAAATAGTTCTAATCTTATCACATTTTAAATGGTAATTATTTTATTCTATTTCATATTATTACCATATTCTATTTCTTATAAATATCATTTACATTAACACTTGCATTTCTTTTATTCCCAGTATTGTGACTATATTTTTTAGCCATCATTTATTTTATTTTATTTCATTTATTCCGCATCACATTTTTTAAACGTCGCTCACGTCACCCCTTAGAGATCTACATACTCTCCATTCCTCGTTTGTGTATTTCACTTGTGTTTGAAAAAGGCTGCCCGGCCGAAACGTTACGTTGTGTTGTTTTGTGCACGTTTTCCTCTTTCCCATTTTGTTGAGCTTTTTAGTCAAATTTCTCTGGAATTCATTGCACTCGTGCCACAATGCACATAGGAGGTCTTAGGAAACATTAATGTGCTGAACGTTAAAAAAAGAAAATATTTAAAATAAAGAGGGGTGAAGAAAAGCAACTCTAAAATACATAGGATAATGCTACTCGAGTAGCACCTGGACCCAAGCACACACAGCCAAGAAGGCAGGAAAATATGTTTAGTTAAAGGATTCTTTTAAATATGTAAAACGGTGGTATAAGCGGTAATATAAATCAAGTATGTATATACAAACACCTAGGCACGTGGATAACATTACATGGAAGATCTGTCATAAAGAAAGAGTTACAAATAGGACGGGTGAAAAGCTGCGATTTAAAAAAAAAGAGCATCTCATGCAATAAATCAAAATCACTGAATGGTAGAAAAAGAATCATTGCATCTTAAACAGCAATTGTTTTAAAATATGACTGTGGATTATTGGAGAACTGAAAGTGAAAAATACACTTTAGTGATGTAATATGTGGATGCACAGAAAAATGCTAAAGTTTCCTTGGACTGTCAGAATAAATAATCTAAATGTTTTGAATTGGGTTAAGACAAACTAAACTGCAAACGCTCAACTGCACATACGTAATTTTGTTATTTGGGGGGGGGCGGGGGCGGCTGGGGTGGTGGGGTGGAGGGGGAGGTCACTGGAAAGATACTTGGGAAAGACAAGGAAAAAATATTCCTCACTTTTTTTTCTGTAGAGACACAGAAAGGTGTCAGCACACAACCAGATATATGCTGTTGGACAAAGAATGATGTGAAGCAGCATAGTCGCCCACGCAGCCGGCAAGATACTTGATAGTGGTGGATTTTTTGGTGTAGACTCAGCAAGGAAAGCTTTAAGTATGTTATACGGTTTTTTAAAGGTTATTTTATAATGCCTGTGATCAACACATCTCCTGCCTCTGGGTGAATCGTGTGGTGAACATATCAAACGCCCCCTAAATGGATCACGTGGTCAACATATTATCTGATCCTAGCTGGATCATGTGCTCAATATGTCTTCTGTCCATCGATGGATTACGTGGACAACACCTTTCCTGCCCCTCGATAGATCATGTGGTCAACACCTTTCCCGCCCCTTGATAGATCATGTGGTCAACATCTATCCTGCCACTAGATAGATCATGTGGTCAACATCTATCCTGCCCCTCGATAGATCATGTGGTTAACATCTATCCTGCTGCTAGATGGATCATGTGGTCAACATCTATTCTGCCGCTAGATGGATCATGTGGTCAACGTCTATCATACCCCCTAGATGAACCATGTGGTCAACATCTATCCTGTCCTTAGACGGATCAGGTGGTCAACATCTATCCTGTCCTTAGACGGATCATGTGGTCAACATCTATCCTGTCCTTAGACGGATCAGGTGGTCAACATCTATCCTGCCCTTAGACGGATCATGTGGTCAACATATTTCCTGTCCCTAGAGGGATCATGTGTTGAACATATCATTTGCCTCAAGATGGGTCGTGTGGACAACATCTCTACTGCCCCTAAACAGGACATGTGGTTAACATCTGTCCCGTCCTTTGATGTATCATTTAGTCAACTTATTGTCTACCCCTTTTAACTCCCATGACATTTCATGGTACCATTTTAGTGCGAATCAGTCTGGATCCAAACCAATTTTAATCCAGCTATAAGCAAATCTGAACCCATAACCACAAGGCCGTGGGACAAACTTGCTACCCTCGAACGACCGCAGCGCCCTGTTTACGTTTATAACTGAACATATGCCATAGAGGTGGACCATCAGCAATGGGTTAAAGATAACGCTCACTCAGAGGATGTGATTATCTGTGCAGAGGGTTCAGAAATCTTCGTGAAGCGTGGTATGCTTCGTTTCGGAGGTTACGGGTGAGGAGCACTGTCTGGATCTTTTCTCCCGGTTATGCCGGTGTGTTGGGAAATAAACATACGGACAGACTGGCTGGCTCTGCACAATTTGGTGGAATATTGATGCATGACAAGGCAGACGGGGTTAGAGCCTTGTGGGAAAAAGTGTACAATTCAGATGAGGAAGTGGATCACTGGTCTGGTGAGAGTGGCGCATCGGGGGTGACTAGGAGATCTGGTCAATACTAGACGCTTAGAAGAAAGGCAAGAGGGACGTATAATCAGACTGCCACTGACACCATTGGTGCTGGAACTCTGCGCTGGCTGCCGGATATGGGGAAGGATGGAACGCTTTTGGGAATGCTCCGACTGCTTTGATGTCGGTTCTTGAATCAACTCAACTCAGCTGAACACACCAATTAGTTATACTCGTTCTAAACCAGAGGGTGTGGCCGGCTCACTAAACTCAGAGGAAAGGCAAGGCGGATATTTAACCAGATTGTGACCGGTACCATCAGCACTGGAACTCTCCGCTGGCTGCTGAAGATGAGAAAGGAGCATGCATGGAAATGCCCCGAGTGCTGTGATATCAATTCTTGAATCAACTCAGCGGAACACACCAATTAGTTATAGTCTTCTAAATGTATAACGAGCTGCATTCAAAACAAAACGCTCTGAATAGTTCACCGTCAGCATTCTAACCACGCTCCTCTTACTACGGGAGGAGCGGATATAATCTTCAGTGCTTCCATAGACCCTGTTGAAACATTCAGTGAGATATCTGGCCCCAGCGATTCGAACATTCTTGTGTTTTTATCGCTGTCCTCCAAAACCAACCGTTTTTCTAGACGCAGTAAAGATTTAACAAAACCCGAGTTTAGTTTGGTCTGTGGTCGCCTAGCTCTGACGATATCCAGGGCTTTCTGATAAGAAATATTGTAGTGTTGCATAATGTGTTGAATGACCGCAGCGGCTGCCCGCGACTGACCCATGTAACTAAACACTAACACACGTCGTTGCTTTTTGCGAGCTCCATTGATGAACGCGTTGATGTCATCGAAGTATTGTTCTAAATCCTCCCACTCGATATCGTCTACGCCAATGTTCAGCTTGGATCTAAAATGGCTTTTGCTGGTACATGCGCACGGACAGTCTGATTTTTTATTAGGGGGAATTAACGTGGGGCTGACATTGGTCATATCGACGAGAGAAGAAATGTTATATTTACATAGCAACGGCTCATTGTAAGCTGCCTCGATGCTTCCTAGGAACAGGTAGTCCGTGATACCGACCATGATATTTTCTATGGATGTCATGCTTGAGGCAAGAGAGGAAGCAATGCTGGTTTTAAAGCAGTTGCCATCAGATGAAGCTTTAGAGAGGGTTTCCTGAAAAGACCGCAGCGCTGCAAATGTATCAGAGTTGCTTTTAACTAATTTTCGCTCCCCTTTCCCAGAAATGTCGTCTGCGGGGGACGAAGAGAATTCGCTGTAGATGCTTTGTTTACTAGATGAAATGTTTGATAGTTTTCGCCTGAAGACTGGACCTTTCTCTAATGTGTGCATCGTTCCACATGGGGATGGAAAAGCCATTACTGGAGTCAAGAGTCTATCTTCATGAAAATGCTCCAACTGTATGAATTGTTTTTCACTGGGGTACACGATAGATGCATTCACTCTACAGTGCATAGTGTTTGAACGATTTAAGCGGCTCCACTCAGGTTTGACTCTGAAATTATCTGGTCCGTTTATCATGAACATTTTTGCTGTGGCAGAAAAATCAGCTGGGGCAATGAGTTTCTTCCCATTCGTGGTGCTTCGTTGTTTGTTTCCAGTCCTAGCATTAGCCTCACTGTTAAAACTACCGTGAGGTTTTAAAATAAGCGGATATGTTAATAACTCTTCCTTGTCAAAAAAATTAGGGCATGAATTATGAAAAGGGTTACATCTGCTATCAGGATTTAGACTTTGGCCAGCATTATGATCCAGTCCTCCTACAGCGCCGTTGTCCAACATCTTATCGGTTGTTAATTCAGAGCCTGGTGAATGTTTCTTGATGCCACCTACAGCGGTGGCTGTGTATTTTTTGGTCTTGTCTTTTTTAGAATTGAAAATATCTTGAAGATGTGACTTGCCTTTGATGAGCATGTTCTGGAAGAAGTCGGTCACTGATTTTTGTCTTCGTATAGTTCTAGTCTGTGCTGGCTTGACTACGGTCTGGTCTAAAGATTTATTGAACCATGACCTGGATCCACTTCTAACTAGCTTCCGTTTAGCTCTGGAAATATGTGAGTCGGGGTCGATGCTTTCTACGCTGCCTGTCATCTTAGAGTTGATGATAGCTGGTTCTCCCTCTCCGGGTTGGAAATCTGCCATTTTTGAGTGATGCAAAACCCGTTAATGTCATTTTAATATACGAATAATGCAAGACGCATATGTAGAAAGTTAGGTCTTCACACACACAAAATATATTCAAGTCTCCCAATTTAACATGTGGTAAGGTCTCTCAGACCTAGGTAGGATTTGGTCTCCAGAGCAGAGATATGGTCAGGTCTCCAATACTGAGGTATCGTTAGGTCTGTAAAACACAGGTATAGTTAGGTATAGATATCGTTATAGATGTGGTTAGGTGTTCAAAGCAAAGACATCGCTAGATTTCCAAATGCAAAGACATCTCCAAACCACAGGTGTTCTTAGGTCTCCGGAAAAGCGATCTGATAAGTTCTATGACTAGGTTGCATGTCACCAGATGATGATGGTAATTAATTCTAAAAGCATACATATTCAATGTTAACGTCTATCTATATCCTCATGGAGTTGCTGTTGACACTTCAGGCATTCACGGTTGATTTCCGTATCTGTTGCAACGTAAACGTCATGCCCTCAAAATTACTGTATGATCCTGCTTCATCTGAAAAATATAAAATAGTATATGCGCACAATTAGACTTGAACTAACCTTACATTCTATTTTAATATGCCATGACTCATCAATGTATAATCTACTAAAGAGGGGGAAATCCTTGCAACTAAAATAATCTCTTGTGTGCGTGTGTTTGATATAATTTTCTGATCAATAAAATGGCTAAGTTCAGCATCGAAAAATATACTGCGATCTATTGTTGAGTCACACGATTACAGTCGGGTTATCCTTTTTTTCTGTTATTTCTGTTGCCATGGCTTTCTTATAGGAATACTGTGAGCATAAAATATATACAACTAAATGGCATAGTAATATAACATTAGGCAACGACGTGTTTTTGTATGTTGGTTGATTGGTTGGTTGGTTCGTTTGTTTGTTGGTTGGTTGGTTAGTTGGTTGGTTGGTTGGTTGGTTGGTTGGTTGGTTGGTTGGTTGGTTGGTTGGTTGGTTGGTTGGTTGGTTGGTTGGTTGGTTGGTTGGTTGGTTGGTTGGTTGGTTGGTTCGTTTGTTTGTTGGTTGGTTGGTTGGTTGGTTGGTTGGTTGGTTGGTTGGTTGGTTGGTTGGTTGGTTGGTTGGCTGGCTGGTTTGTTTTTTGGTTGGTTGAGATCAGAAAGAAAACTGGAAGTAAAGAATTCACTGTTGGGATCAGTTGAGAGTTCAACTGGAGGAACTGACGGAATAGTATCCATACTATTGCCTAGCTCAAACAGTTTTATCACTCTCGTTACTGTATATGCACCCACACTAACGTCAAATGATGATGCGAAAGATTTTTTTTTTTATGTGGAACTAGACAATGCAGTGACAGCAATTCGTAAATCTGACGGCATCTACATAGTTGATGGTTTTAATGCTCGCATGAGCGGGGGGAGGGGGGAGAATGGGAAGCTAAACTTATGACCAGTTTGCCTGGAAAACTTAATGTTGGTCCTATGAATTAAAACGGACAAATTCTATTGGAATTCTGCACAAGAAGTGACATGTACATCACAAACTACTGTTTCAAAACTAAATATCGTCTTAAGGTGTCATAGAATTATCTAAGATCTGGCCACTGGCACCAGTTAGACTTTATTGTCACAAGTCTGCAGCACCACAACTAAAAATCACTAACGCGCCTATGTCCCATTGGTGACTTTGACACTGATCATTCCCTAGTTGCTACAAGAGTTCGGCTGAAACCAACCATAGATTTCACTTCAAGAATAAATCTTATTAAAACTAAAGACCATTAAGAGTGTGTTAAGATACAACGACAGCTCGAAGATGCTTTCACTGATACCCAAGATAACTCTACAACAGTTTTTAAATTGGATTCACCTAAAGATACTATATATAGAACAGCTGCAACAATCTATGGAGTTAGAGAACAAAGAAGAAAGGACTGGTTTGATGCAAATAGCCAGACACTCCAACCCTTAATTAATAGTAAAAAGTTAATTCGCCTCAGAAACAAGGAAAGAACAACAAAGAACAATCTCACTGAATTGACAGAAGCTAGAAATTATTCGCAGAAGGTAGCTAGCCTTAAATGGCTACCAGGTAAAGTCCTGGGAAGTTTGCCCTCTCCATCTTGTGGAAATGATCCTGTAGTTTCTTACTTGACTGTTTACACTACAGGAGCCTCCATGGTGTAGCGGCTAGACGCTAGACTGTGGATCCCAAGATTGTGGGTTTAGATCAGAACGGAGCCGAACTTTATTTTTTTTTTCAATTACTTTGCTCTTAGGTCGAACCAGCATTAAATGGGTACACAGTAAAGTCCTGGGAAGCAAAGGGGGCAGCATGATGTTAATCACATCATCATTAAGTTTCGACTGTCCTATAAAATATAGGTTTAACACCATCTTTCCAATATGTCTGAAGGAGTGGAAAGGGATTATTTCAAACTACAACACATTTCCAGAAAATATATTAGTCATAACTAGATGTCACCATGTATGAGTATACTCACTGTCCATTAACAGTAGTACAAGACCCATAATTAGAATGTTGTTCAAATTAGATATGTCAGGAAGCTAATAAGCAGATATCACAGCCTAGCTTTAATATAATAAACAACGTGTCAAACCTCCTTTTAAGGATGAACGCAGAAGTAAACACTGGACTTTGACTGGGGCGGGGAGGGGGATGGGGGGGGGGGGACACCAATTCGAAAAATATAATTTTTGGCAATGTTAAACACCCGCTTACCGAAAAGAAAATATTCATGTAAATTTAAAATTAACAAATGATACAGGGCGAAATTATGCCCCGCCTACACAGTTGAATCCACCACAACAAAAACGCGTATATTTGTTTTTATCCGATCTATCCCCATAAAGTCGGTTTGCATCCTAACGATCGTTGAGACAAATGTTGAGTACACAACAGGCTGCATATTCAAGTAATTGTAACCAGTATCAACAACTTAAATATGGTTTACAGAACTCAGAAATTACCATTACACTTTACTCTCACTGAAGCAGATGATCAAAATTATAAAAATCAATTCCCTCTTTTATTGTTCTATCGCTTAAAGAAATATTTAGTTGATTTCAAACATAGAGTCACAATTGTGTTCTCCAATTCCGTAATAAACTGTTGTACTAATGTCTGAATTCAGCCATCGCTGCAGACAAGCCTACACACTGCGGCAAATTGTTCCGTCGGCATTTTCAAAGATTTTTGCCGCTGACGCAAAGCGAATCAATAAATCTTGTCACAGGCGCGTGACAAGTAGAAATGTGTGTCCAAAGGCATTTGATCCTGACATGAAACTCGCACAAAACCATCTGCAACTTGAGATCAAAATTTATTTTTGTTCCCACGGCCAAACATGGGTTTCACATTTTTATTCCGTCTAATAAAACAGTACCAAAAGAGTAACCATTATCCTCATCAAGTGCGTGGGCAATCATGCCTTCCACAACCTGTGATTTTCAACAGCATGTATAAGTTAGTTTGTCCCTCAATGCTGTGGCAAAGACTGTCAAAAATCTTCTCCCGTTGTCTTCCTCTTACTCTTTTTCCACAGATCTTTCCATTGGTCCCAAAATGTTCCAGTTGTCTTATTCTCACAATATACGCATGAAATGAAAGAATTATGTGAGAATTACCAAGGCTAAAGAAATACTTCGCTTGTGTGTTTTCACGGTGTGTTCATAAATGAAGCAAAGAGTTCGTAATTTTGTTAATCTATAAGGCATGCTGTAATAAGCGACTAAGCAGCGTTAACATTGATTTTCTTTTATTCAAGAACTGACATCACAGCACTCGGGGCGTTCCCATAAGCGTTCTGTCCCCATCTTCAGCAGCCAGCGAAGAGTTCCGATACTAATGGTGCCAGTAGCATTCTGATTAAACGTCCGTCTTGCCTTTCCTCTGAGCCTCGAGCATCTGCCAGAACCTCACGTCACTCCCTGCTGCAATAATCTCCCCAGATTGTGGTGATCCATCTGTACTCCGAACTGTACACGCTCTCCCACAAGGAACTAACCACGTCTGCCTTATTATATATCAGGATTCCACCAAGTTGTGCAGAGCCAGCCAGTCTGCCCACCTGTTCATTTCCCAACACATCGGCGTCCCCCGGTGAAAAAATCCAGACAATACTCCTCACCCGTGTCCTCCTCAGCGAAGCATGCCACTCTGCACGGGGCATACCTGTTCTGATCTTCCTCAGCATGCTTTCTGAATCAGTTACAATCATGATGTGTGTGTGTGTCATGTTCTCTAGCCATCAGAAAGCTGCAGTGACTGCCTCCACCTCCATTCTTAAGCTGGATGTTGTGGTATCCTATGCTAGGCTCTCCTGCACCAAACGTCGACCATTAACATTAGTCAGTCGAGCTTCTAAGATCACTGCAGACAGCTCGCCACATAAGTGATCAGTTTCAGTGCCAGTGAAAATCACACAAAATGTCCTTCACTGTTCTATGAGAAAAACTTGTCAGTCGCATCAAAATCTTGGATCTTGCACCAGTAAAATTAGAACATCATTATGAATGTTATTGGCAACCCGTCATTTTAGTGCAACAGCACTTCATGGGCACAAACGAAAAAATGCTCCACGTGAAATTTGCAGACTCACAGTGACGCACCAACCACTCATTTCAGTAGCTGGACGATGAAACCTTTTGACGTCCGGTCAAGAAATTGGGAATTTGAATCAGCTAAGCCAGACTGGAACTTAAAAACTTTTCGCAACGTCGCGGGTTAGAAAGTTATAGGCCATTCTAAGTTAACTTAAAACTGACTACTTCATCTAGTAAGAAAATATTTGATCTTCAAAATCGTAGCAATCCTAGACAGGGTTGGCATTTTTTTGTTTGGGTTCTATGTTCCATCGGGTAACCAGATAATCGCAGTTCCAACCTTACTTCATATCAAACTGGTCGCCCCAATGTTGCTCCATTCCTGTGTCGATGAAAACAGCCCAGAATTTCCATCACTGTCCCCTGAAGGGGCGGAGG